GGCCTGCTGTGTTCATCCAGCTCTACACCTTGTTACCTCTAGGTTTGGACTGCCTGGGGAAAAGATCCTGGCTATTCATCTTATCTATTCCCCTCTATTAGGAGGCTGAGAGGTGACCTACGCTCCAAGGAAAAACGTGCCTGCCCATCCAGCTTCTCCTTATAACTAAATCTTCCAGTCTTGGCAGCATCCTTGTAAATCTAATTTGCACGCCTTTGCAGTTTAATAACATCCTTCCTATAGCAGGGCAACCAGAATTGTATGCAGTACTCCAAATGTGGCCTGACCAATGTCTTGTACATGCTGTCCCAACTCCTATACTCAACGTTCTGACCGACAAAGGCGTGTCAAACACCTTCTTCACCATCCGGTCTACCCGCGACGTCACTTTCAAGTAATTATGTACTTGAACTCCTAGGTGTCTCTGTTCGATAATACTCCCCAGAGCCCTGCCATTAACCGTGCAAGTCCTGCCCTGGTTCGCCTTACCAAACTGCAACACCCAACATTGATCTGAATTAAACTCCACCTGCCATTCCTCAGACCACTGGCCCATCTGATCAATGTCCCGTTTCACTCTTAGAAAACTTTCTTCACTGTCCACTATTTTACTGCAAACTTAACCGTTCCATCTATATTGTTAAGTTATTGTAAAAATGACAGTGGACCCTGCACTGATCCTTGCAGCACATCCTTGGTTACAGGCTTCCAGTCCAAACCACCTTTTACCTCCACCCTGTCTCCTACCGTCAAGCCAATTTTGTATCCATTTGGCTCGGTCTCCCCGTACGCCTGATCAGGAACTCTAACAATTTGGAGACACTAGAGAAGGATGGCTTGTTACATTTGAAGCAAAGATTTCAATAGGCATTCCAAACCATGAAGAGCTTTGATACAGCAAATCAGGAAAAACCATTTCCACTGCCTGAAGAGTTGGTAAACAGAGGATAGAGATTTAAGCTAACACATCAGAGTAAGTGGGGGAGAGACTATAGTATGCACTAATCTAGAACCAATGCCTGAAAGGGTTTTAGAAGTGATTCAACTGTAGCTTCCAAAATGAATTCTGAGAAAAACCTATGGTCATGCTATTGGGAAACAATGAGCCACTGGGACCACTGTAACCAAGCAGCTCGTTCCCACTGGCCTGCAATGCCAAACAACCAAGACTTCCCGATCAGTCCAGCCAAACCCTAAGTCAGTTCTGATAACTGTGGCATCACACTTCGAGTTATGAACCTCTGGGCTTCACTCTGATTAATGTTATGCATCATTTCCTCTTGGACAAGCTGTAACTAAGAATCTCTGGTCTTTTTGTGCCCAAAAAGCCTCCATTTAACAAATCCGCTCCATTAAGCCAATTCCATCCAATGAAAGAACACTTTCTGTCTCAGCCACGTTATCTCACATCATCCTCTGCGTGGGACTTTGTCTAGAAATGTTAAAAATTCTTTGTAGGTATGGAAGCAATCTTTCTCGATTCTACCATCGTTAGTTTAATACTTATGTGATGTGCTTCGCGGAAATTTCTAATTTTTTGCAAACACTAGATTCATGATTCTCCACACTATTTCCCCTTTTTGCAGTTTCTGTATTAAATCAAGATGCATCACTGTGACCCATTTAAAGAGTAAAATGCTGCTGGTCACATAATTAAGTAGACACTGAACAAATGAGCCAGAGACATGACTTCAAATCCTATCCGACCAGCTGCAGAGTTTAAATTCAGTTCATGAAGCATATATTTTTCCCTAAACATTTACAGGATGAGGGTGTCGCTGGCTAGGCCAGTATTTATTGCCCATCCCTAATTACCCAGAGCACAGTTAGGAGTCAGAGTCATGGAGACATGCAGTGTGGAAACAGACCCTTTGATCCAACTTGTCCATGCCAACCAGATATCCTAAATAAACCTAGCCCCATTTGGCCCATATCCCTCTAAACCCTTCCTATTCACGTACACATCCAGATGCCTTTTAAATGTTGTAATTGTACCAGCCCCCAACACCACCTCTGGCAGCTCATTCCATACACGCACCACCCTCTGCCTGAAAAGGTTGCCCCTTAGGTCCCTTTTAAATCTTTCCACCCCTCACCTTAAACCAATGCCCTCTTGATTTAGAATCCCCCAACGCGGAGAAAAGACCTTGTCTATTCACCCTGTCCATGCCCCTCATGATTTTATAAACCTCTATAAAGGTCATCCCTCAGCCTCCGACACTCCAGGGAAAATAGCCCCAGCCTATTCAGCCTCTCCCTGTAGCTCAAACCCTCCAAACCTGGCAACATCCTTTTAAATCTTCTCTGAACCCTTTCAAGTTTCACAACATCCTTTCTATAGCAGGGAGACCAGAATTGCACACAGTATTCTGAAAGTGGCCTAACCAATGTCCTGTATAACCACAGCATGACCTCCCAACTCCTATATTCAGTGCACTGACCAATAAAGCCAAGCATACATAAATATTTGCAGCTATTAAAATTAATTTTTGCCATCTGAAGCTCTCCCCACACATTATATCTTTAATAAGAAACCTACCAAATCAAAACCTACCCATGCCTATTATCATGCTGGCAGTGGTAACGTGCAAGAGAGATGTACGGGTAATGTCATAATTGCCCATGGTGCTACCTTTAACAGTAATTTCCTATGACACCTGATCATAAGGAGGAAGAATACTGGTTGTTGTGTCCTACCTCCTTGGGTTGGACAATCAACACATGGCACTTCCCTCCAACGTAAAGATCATCAACAGTGGAGTTTTACCAGTAAGCTTACCTTTAGGTGACGGCAGGGTTTGGGACAGACAGAGTAGCTTGAATGCAAGGTTCTTTCTCATCCGTGTTTGCATCATTTTACCACAAGTATTTTGAAAGCTCTCCCTGGTGGACTGATGAGAGGGCAGTTGAATACCACTCATCAGCCTTTGGCAAGGACAGAGAATAGTGATGGGAAGCACAGACTAGGCAACAGCTAATGCAGAGTTCAGAAAACAGGAGCTACAGTTTCCAGTTTTAAACTCAACCCTCCTTCAAGATTTTCACCCGAACGGCAGCAAGAGGAGACTATTCCAGCAGGGTATTTGTACTAATTGAGCATTAGGCAGCCAAACGGCTTCCCACAACTCCAGCGATTTACAGGGAAGTGTCTGTGACCCTCCCATTCGGCTGTGTTGAGGATCCTGGGATGGACAGATGGCTCCATGATTTTCCTACATAGCACATAAAAGGCCGATCGAGTACCCTCCTCTAGTTTAACAGGAAGGGGGGCAAAATCAAAGACTTCTGCCAAGGGCTGTAGGCAGGTACAGGGGTCCAACTCAAGTTAATCTTTGTTTTGAACACTTGCCCTGAAACACAAAGAAGATCTTTACATGAAAAAGTACACGTTTCCTGCTCTGTCTCTCATCCAGATTAATAACATTTGCTGTACCTAAGCGTAATACTGTCCTGTGATGTTGATGCTTTTGTTTTTCTGGAAAATAACAAAAAGGAAGTTAACAATTCCAGCTCATCCATCCTTGTCTCCACTATCACCTTATTAGTCTTCTCCTCATCCCTCTGAAACCCTGCCAAGTTGTCTCTGCCATACCTTCTGCTTTAAGCATTTCCCTTAAAAAGATCAAGTCTAACTAAACATAATAATACACACACACTCTATATCCTGGAGAAGAGCTCAGCCAGTCTAATGAACTCAGTGTGCATGAATGCAAAACTAAGATAGATTTCTTTTTTCTTGGAAAGGTGTCAAAAAAATACTTATTTTCTGCTTCTTTTTTAACTTGGCAAGGCACTGAGAGTTGCTGAGATGAATACCAGCAGTTTCAATGCTATTCTCCTTACAAATGTCTTCCCTCCTCTCCATGACAGCAAGTCAGAGATACAGAGCCCAGAAGAACAAGACCGGGTAAGGTTCCCAGCAGCCTGATGCTCAAACACAACAGGCTAGGCCTCTACAGACACATCAGAAATCATACTGTGCCTGAGCACTACAGCTGAGTAAGAGGTCAGGAGACCAAGACCCCAATTTGTGCAGCAATGTAATCACCATTTCAATAGAAGTTAGCTGCAACCTTCTCCCTCCAGATCAGTTGAGCATGGTGCAATCCACAAAATAAATTTCAGCCCAGCTCAGGTTGGATGCTGTTTTGTTCCTGCCCCTAAAGACCTGAACCTCCTGCTGGGTGCAGGTTCACAGAACTGCAGACACAGAGTATCCTCCGCCAAGTGACCATTCATCATGTGAGAGACACGTCAATGAGCATCAGCATGGAGAGGGAACCTCTGCTTAATTATTCCTTCCCAGGCCTGTAGAGAATCAGCAAACTAAGCTATAGCAGTGCCCAATGCTGAGAACAGGGTCAGCAAGGTCTTGGTAAGTGTAAGTGTCAATCAGCTGGTCACGACATCAGTGGAACAACCACAGCTGCTAACTTACCAAAACAAATTTACTGGTTGACAAATCATCGATAGGCCCCATTATTATCAAATACTGCTAAACAGTGCTCTTCAGGCAGAACCAGTTTAGTTTCATACCTGCTGGAGGGAGGGCGGTTCTGTCGTAACTCGTTCAGTAGATAATCTTTCACTCCCATTATCACTGCCTGCAGGCACTGCTTGTTGGGCTTCTCTCGGATCACGTCACGGTCACAGTGCTTGCACCTCTTCAGGATGGTTGAGAAGTTGAGAACACTGAAGGGCCACCTCTGCACTACATCACGCAGCACCAGCGTCCGGATGTCCAAAAAGGCAGCTTTAAACAGCACTGGGTAGATTTCACGGGGGATGTAGTCCAGAGCTTTGCGAGTCGAGGCATGGTCCGAGATCACTTTCTGTGCACAAAAGAACACAAGAGAATGCATCCTTCTCGACAAACAGCCCGGATCAAATTTGATGTTGCAGTCAGTAGGTGGCTGGTGGAAGAGAGAAAGATGGCGGTCAGAGCCGAGAACACATCTGCTCGTATTTTACATGACTAACATCCACTTAATAGAAGCTACATACATTAACACACAGGAGCCTGTCTTCTGCAGACAGGAAGAACATCTTCCAACTTAGCACCTTTAAGCTTAAGCGAGGGTGTGGGTGGAGAATCATTCCCTTGTTCATTCTCCATTGCAATATTTCAGCCACATAGAGTATTAAACACATACTCAAAGAGCAATGACTGTATCCTTATCTCAGAGACAAGCTGTCACCACACAGCAGCATCTAATCCCTGCTGGGCAAATGCTCATTTGGCAGAGCAGAACTCGAATCTGCTGAAAAAGGTTTTTGTATTGCACGTTCATTCACCAATGTCCTTTAAGGAAAGAAATCTGTCAGGCAAGCCCATAGAGAGGGTGGAATTTGAGGTATAATTACGTTTGAGCCCAGGTTGTGTACAGCCTGGTGAATGCTCAAGCAGTGCCCGGGGGAGCGTGAGAGTCTAGCCACACCTCACCGTCAACAAATCACACATGAAATACACAAGAGCAGCTACATCTACATCAGCCTGAGGATTGACCTGACAGGTCAGTGCAGCAATTATAGACTGAGCCATCCCGTCTCTAACTGCGGCACGGCCCAGGGGAAGGAGGCCGGGCCTGCAGCCGTCCCCCCCGGTCCCGGGGAAGGAGGCCGGGCCTGCAGCCGTCCCCCCGGGTCCCG